TGACGTGACCCAACAAGGTTTCACCTATAGTAGTTTTGCATTTCAGTTCAGGTGCACTCTCCAAGGTTTCCTCATTTAACGGCACTGAATGGGGGAAACGATTTCGATAGCCTCTTTAGATAGCAACTTATCGATTGAATAACATTCCGGGTGAGAAAAGAAATGTCACTTAAGACGGCTTCTTTACAATTCAAGCAGTGTAAGTACCTCCTTCGTACGTAACATTTATTTTATTCGGTGCAGTTCGGGCACTTTTGCTGATAATGGGCTCTACTGCGTGCGTGCGTTTAGTCTACCGTTTAGCGCCATATGTATCAATGCAATACNGTCAGCAAAATCACCGCAATATAATCAACGCAACCGTACTGGAAGAACTGCTTCTCAATGACTTGATACCCTCACAAGCTGCAAAGCACACGTACTCATTTATTATACACAAGAACACTTGCACCTTTGACAAAGTTTGGTTTATTAATTTGTGGCCCTAAAGAGGGCCGTTGGGTTTGGAAGTGAAGTTTGACGAGCCGCCGAATGCTGCTACGCACGCTTCTTATGCTCGTTCACCACGAATGCGGCGTGCGAGTTGGATGTCTTTTGGCATGATGGTTACTCTCTTGGCGTGGATGGCGCAAAGATTGGTGTCTTCGAACAATCCAACGAGGTATGCCTCACTGGCTTCTTGGAGTGCAAGAACGGCTGATGACTGGAAACGAAGGTCGGTCTTGAAGTCCTGAGCGATCTCACGAACTAGTCGTTGGAAGGGCAGTTTGCGGATGAGAAGCTCCGTTGATTTCTGGTAACGACGGATCTCACGGAGTGCCACGGTTCCTGGACGATATCTGTGTGGTTTTTTCACACCACCAGTCGCCGGTGCCGACTTGCGGGCTGCCTTCGTGGCCAGTTGCTTACGAGGAGCCTTTCCACCAGTGGATTTGCGAGCAGTTTGCTTGGTACGAGCCATTATTTCAGCGAGAACGAGTGCGTCAAATGAAATTGAACGATGAGTGGCAACGGCTTGCGATGCCTTTTTATAGGCAATCTCGCCGAAGCACCGCCCACTAAATTGGCGCCCTTTTTGCGATGCTCAATCGATACAAACTATGAGAACAAGTAAATGCATTAAGAATTTATGGTGGGGAAATCAAATATCATCAAGGTTGATCGAAACTGGACTGAATTGACCTTTTGTGATTGCAACGATCAGAATTCTGGTCAAAGTGACGATTTGACATGCTGACATCGGGCATTCCGACCGACTTTCGGAGTTCTTCGGTCGGAATTCCGCCGAATACACATTTTGAGACTCCGACGTTCGGAATTCCGGATGCGGCTTTCAGAATCCTTGGCTCGGAATCTGGCCGAATTGACGTAAAGGTATCAGGGGTAGTTTTGCATTTTAGGTTGGTAAAATCAAAACGGCATTCCGTTCACATTCGCACTTGAGTGTGTTACTTAAGTTAGAGCACAGCAAGTAATGTTCGCATCAAGGAAATGGCGCTGTGATTTGATCAACCTGATATACAACATAACTGATATCGGATGAAGCTTGAGACTAGGACATTTTAATTTGCTTCCAAAATGAGATTTATGAAATTCACTAACTTGCGCGCTACGTCACAGTCACTACGAGTGGTTTATTTAGCGGGCTGTTTACCTGGTTAGTACCACAACTAAAAGTAGTCAGATGTTCATAACGGTCCCTCAACTGTTTGATATTGTTCTCATGAAATTATGGTATTGTCATTGTTTAATGTATTGACGGTTCTGCATCCATCACAGCGCAACGTTTTCAAATCCCTTAATCAATAATTCCCTCCATTGAATAGTGAATGTTCATTTGAATGTCGTGCTCTCTCTTTTCCCTCGCAAGCAAACAAATCATCGATTCAATCGAACCGAATAATGCCCTTATCGCACAGTTTTACCGCCAAATCGATGGCGTGGGGCATCGTCATTTCATTAGTTATATGATAATTTGCCTGTCGAATAGCAATATGAACAATAAAACATCCCGCCAAATGGACTATAGCATGTGTTGTTTGGACGAATTGTTTTTCCCATTTTATGCGTCCGTTGACATTGCTGTTCTTTAATCTCCAAGATAAGAGTTTTTAGTATCGATTGTTTCGAACCCTTAGAGATAGGGTATGCAGAGAGCAATATTACAATTTGCGGACAATGCAAACACTCGAAAACAGCATAAATGTGCGGGAATTATGTGATTGTAACGCCACGGGACTGTAACCTCACCATAATCGTGTGCAGCAAGCACGCATTTCCAAACGTCCACAAATGTTGATTGCTACATTTAACATACTCCTATCTAATGCCCGAGAAAACATTTACGCAACCGATTTTAGAGTACTGATCACGTGCATGTTTCGACTGTTGCAAATATTGTGTACAAGACACTTATAAACACGTTCATATAGATTTATTCAGAGATCGGTTTATTCGTCCACATACGATATTCAAAGTTCATGCAAAAGTTAGCACATCAATATCATATTGAAGTGTACATGAGCCATTCACAGCTGCAAAACCTCGCACACACCACCGCAGTCAGGCCTTTCCGGAATCAAAGAGCAAAAACTTGCAACACTTATTGATGGGTTGACTTTATTCATAATTACATCATGTAACAAATGATCAAGTTTGGTTTATTGATTTGTGGCCCTAAAGAGGGCCGTTGGGTTTAAGAATGGTTGTTCGTGAGACGATCGCGAGATCTTAACCTCCGAAACCGTAGAGGGTTCTGCCTTGTCGTTTCAGGGCGTACACCACATCCATGGCTGTGACGGTCTTTCGCTTGGCGTGTTCACAGTAGGTGACTGCATCGCGGATCACGTTTTCCAGGAATACTTTGAGTACACCACGGGTTTCCTCGTAGATGAGTCCAGAGATACGTTTGACACCACCACGACGTGCGAGACGACGAATTGCGGGCTTTGTGATACCCTGGATGTTATCACGCAACACTTTGCGATGACGCTTTGCGCCACCTTTTCCGAGACCTTTACCACCTTTACCACGGCCAGACATCACGATTTTTGCTCAATTGGTGAACTGATGATTCAGGCGATGTTCGTTCACCTTTTATGCAGCACCGATGTGTGGCGCACGCTGCGACTCCATGTGGTGTTTTAATTAGCACCGCCCCTTTCAGTCGCGCCAAGCTTATGCTGATATCGAAAACTAAGATTGGACATGTATACTACTATTATAACGTTGTCGAACGAGAATGCATTGAAGTACATGCAGGAAGGATGTTTTATCCAGTGGCACTCATGTGGATGTGGAGATATTAAATTATGGTTTGGTACTGTTGTAATTCAAGTCGGTAATATCACAACAGCATTTCGTTCGTGCGAACATTTCTTGCTCTAACTAGTCGTAAATAACATGTTCAGCTGCGAGTGTGAACGAAATGCTGTTTTGATCTTACCAACTTAAAATACAAAATTACCTATAAGTTTGCAGAGAAATTTGTTGAAAACATGGTGAAAGTTTGAAAACCCAATTGGAGTTTTAATTTCGTTGATGAGTTTGATAAAAACGCAGTGAAAATGAACCGATTGATTAAATGCAATCAGATTTCGTTATACCTGTATGTAAGGTAAGTGATATGAGAAGTACAACACGGTATAAGTTCACTTCTGAATAAATCTGAATACGAGAATGCTTTTAGTAAAGTTCACTGAAGTTGCTGCACGCTTGTTTGGGATAAAATAATCTTCCGATGTATTTAGTATTCAGCTTCATTTAGTTAGTTAGTTAAAGTTAAGTTAGACTTGTATCAGTTAGTTAAAGTAGACTATCAATCCCAAGCGGTAACCAGATAATCAGATTACACCTTCAGTTTGGTAACAAGATTATTCTGATGAATTAATTCCAGTCTCATGATCTTCACCAAAGAAGTAATTGTATTTACGATGGAATTTACGATGCGTTCTTCACCCGTCATAATTGAACAATACCAAACGACTAGTAATCTGCAGAGACCACATCTAATCTAACATTGCAGTTAACCACCGATAGATTTCAGTTCCTTTAACATCGACATATTTCTTTCGCTTGGCAAACTTACACACAAATAATTCATTAAATTTATTCAAATCAATCACCAATATACAGACAAAGTTTGGTTTATTTATTTGTGGCCCTAAAGAGGGCCGTTGGGTTTAAAGGATGAGTTCAAGCATCGTAAATGCTCAGACGCTTATGCCTTCTCGGCGGTCTTCTTGGGCAGAAGAACGGCCTGGATGTTCGGGAGCACGCCTCCTTGAGCGATTGTCACGCCAGCCAAGAGCTTGTTCAATTCTTCATCGTTACGGACGGCCAACTGCAAATGACGCGGGTTGATTCGGGTCTTCTTGTTGTCGCGGGCTGCGTTGCCTGCCAATTCCAGAACCTCAGCGGCCAGATATTCGAGCACTGCGGCCAGATAGACGGGAGCTCCTGCACCCACTCGTTCGGCGTAGTTTCCTTTGCGGAGAAGACGATGAATTCTGCCGACTGGGAATTGAAGTCCAGCTCTTGATGAGCGAGTTTTGGCCTTGCCAGATGACTTAGCCTTGCCTCCTTTACCACGTCCAGACATGATGATTTTTGATTTAGGTTGATAAGCGCACGATAACTTGCAATGATTCTGCAAATAATCACAAGCAGTTTATATAGGCAATGTTTTAGCGCGTAAATGGGCGTGACGTGGGCGTGGCTTGTGTGCGAGGTCAGAATAATGTATTAAAAAGAAATCGAAAAGCGATGCACACCATCAGTCTTGGTTATTTACCGACTAAGTTGCTAATAAACGTTCGTTCCGATATGCCACCAAAGCCATCAGCTAAGGGAGCCAAGAAGGCCGCCAAGTCGCAGAAGCCGAGAGTCGGCAAGAAGAGACGCAACAAGCGCAAGGAGTCCTACTCGGTCTACATCTACCGTGTGTTGAAGCAAGTGCATCCAGACACCGGAATCTCGTCACGAGCCATGTCCATCATGAACTCGTTCGTCAACGATGTCTTCGAACGTATCGCCGCCGAAGCAAGCCGTCTGGCCCACTACAACAAGCGCTCGACCATCTCATCTCGCGAAGTGCAGACGTCCGTCCGATTGATCCTCCCCGGAGAACTCGCCAAGCACGCTGTATCGGAAGGCACCAAGGCCGTCACCAAGTACACCAGCTCCAAGTAAATTCGTTTACTGAGGCAGGCGTAACTGAACTCTTCATCTAAACCCAACGGCCCTCTTTAGGGCCACAAATTAATAAACCGAACTCTGTCTACCTCATATATAGTTTCTCATTCAATAAAATGTCAGTGTTCCAATAAAATCAAAAAATTAATTGTTGCATTTGTTAGTTGATAAGTTCCTAGAACTGGGAGAATGGTTCCAAATCAAGCCGTAAGCTTGACATGATTGACATTGTATGCAAAACACTGGGTATGTGAACAAACACGATATGAAGACAGATGTTCTCCGAAAGAGTTACTAGTAACTTGATGATAAAACGACGGTCAATGAAACAAGTCTATGTTCTAAAACAAATCGTCAGCAACATTCAACTGACGAGTCACCGATAAGTCTGAAAAAGTCAAGCATCATACGTTCGCTCTTATATGATAACGCATGTATAAAGAGATGATAAATTCTGATGAAAGCAAGCATAAAGGAATGATAAGTTTTGCCACATCTAAACAGTTTTTTAAAGGCGAGAGAGACCACATCTGATCTGGAAACAGTTCAGAATGTTCCACTGCTGCTGAGCTGTTCACTTTGGACGGCTACAGTTTGGTTTCATTTGGATATCACTCAGTTGGAAACAGTGATTTTCAGGCACTTGTTTAGCTAAGGGGATAGACACGCGCGCATAGAAACATTGAAAAGCGTACATGATTTTATCTACATGATTTCAGATTTTCCCCAAAATTATATTGAAATGAGCGAAATTCTAATCTCCTCCTAACAACACCTCTCGTCAAAACCATTCAAGAACACGAAATATGCAGTTAAACTGAGATCAGAAATTTGATACATTCTTCACACTTCGGTTCTATTAATTTCCTCCTTACTGATGATTCTGATGACTTTCTTTTGAAACTTTTCGGTTGATAAGCATACCTATTCCTCAGAGAAATATACTCAATTCACAGCACGGCTCTCTAAAAACAGCTAATTTTGCCTTTACGAACATTCGGGTCAGCATAAATCCTTTTAATTTTCATCTGATCGTAAACGAGTTTAGAAAGCTATCATTTGTTGTTAATACATAACGCAGTGCAGTATTTCCCGCCAGCATTAATCTTTCACAGCAGGTACCCAGTGTGCTGAGCACAGTTTTTGGCGCGATAACGTAACGCAGATGCATTCGTTTACGCTTGCTTGCATAGAATGTATACAAACAATGAATTGGATGCATTGTGGAGGGACTAAATGTAATAGTAGTGTTACACATTTGCCTGAAATATCGCTCCAATTCCATTGAACATTTCAATCGATCATCAAAAGAGTGTGTTCGTTATATGCTATTTGAACGAAAAGTGAAGATGGAATAAACACCAGCAAAACATGACTCACTGAACACAATATGTCATATAGGTGGATTTCATACGGGATGGATATTCTGAACATATCAGAATAAGGGGAACTGAATGTAAGGAGAGTGGTAGCGTAATATTGCTTAACTGTATCGTGATCATCGCATTATTAATCAATATAATCTCATTACGTGCTTCACTAGGAAGTGCTTCGTTTGATATTGTGAAACACACTCTCTTGAGCAAACTAAACTGTGTGCAATAAAATAGCAAGCATTTCTATCTAAAATTGGTAGCTTTTGCAAGCTCGGAATTACCGATTTCAATATTATATTACAATAACGGTCGATTTCAATTTACCAACCAAATGCAAATATTTCCTACTTGTGTCTCCACATTTAACTATAACTGAACTCATTTATCATTTCGTTGAGTTTGCTGCTATTTTTCAAATGATTCCATAGTTGTGATCTAAACAAATGACAAGGACAGTGACAATAAGGGAGAAGATTTGGGAATGGAACGAAGCAAAATTGTCGGAACGGATCATCCGACATATATACATCTCTGAAACTAAAGAATCTGGAGATTCCGTTTGATGAAAGAAACTGTCAAACTTACTATCACAGCACAACCAGAGAGAAGATTCGAGCTTAGAACGAAATAAAATTGTTAGGACGGATCATCTCCAATGTAAGGCATTCGAACAGGATAATTTTCGCAAGTTAACCACTGAATATTCCTAACGAATGTTATCGAAACTGGGGATCTACTAAATCCTGTTCACTATATAATACACAATGCAGAACCACCATTTTTAAGCTAACGTTATTCTCAGGTTTGCTCCGTATCACATTGGTTTCATTACACCGTTCATTTCCACAAAAACTCTAGATTCAGAGAAATATATGTTGTCAGAAAAATAAAATATGTTCATGCAATTATAACTGATTGCAGTAATGAGGAATATAATGATCTAAGAGAAGGCCAACTCAAGTCGAATACCATCATGGTGTTCTTGTACCAGGGGGGTGGGGGGGGATGGGTGACGGCGGCCTGCCAGATCATCGGTAATGGAGCACCCGAACGTGAGAACCACTGCTATAAGTCAATTTGTACATAACTATAGCACAATAGGGCTTACCATCTTCAGGTTACCGGTACTCTCAGGTTTGCTCAGTAACACATCAATTTCTTCAAACCAGTCGATTCCACATATCCTCTAAATTCAGAAAAACATATTTCGTTGAGCGATTCTGCTTACTTCAGATATAGTTGATTTTCTGAATCTATCTCAAGTAGCTCGGCGGCGCTCGTTCCAATGCATTGAACTCTTCACATCATCAGATTCCTCCGATTCTCAAGCAAGCAAAATCGCTCAGCAAACTATATCATATTCTGAATTTAGAGGTTCTGAGGAATCGAATGATGTAGAGAAATTGACATGTTACTGGGCAAGCCTGAGAGTACCGGTAGCTTGAAGNNNTCTGTAATGATACAATGTATATGAATGAGCGCGACTGCGCTAGTCGAGATAACTTCAAGAAAATAACTTAATCTGTTGAAGTCTGCTGGATTGCTTGACAAAAACACTGAGCTTAACTGCTCTTCTGAGAACATTTTTCTCACATCACATCTCTCAAAATGCCACATTTTTTGGTAATCCACTCATCAAGCCGAATCGATTGATGCCAAAAGTGATTGAAGTTGGTTGGGATTAAAGTTTTGTTCAGTCTAGAAGCTTGTACCATAGAATGAATCCATTTTGAAGGCATTTAACATGGAAAATATAGTGGACAGAGAGGTTCCATGTACTTAGTTGCATTGAGTATCTCATTCCGTTCGACTGATACCAGATTTGTGACACCTTGAAAAATGAACCCATTCGGCGAAAATCGTGAACTGACGATTTTGCGGTTTTTAGGGTCTTGCAACGCAGTTTTCCGTTGGTTGATCGGAACATTCCCTATGATATTCTTGTTCAGACGGCCGATACCATCTCAAGATCGTTTTGAGCGTCTCAAAATGTTTATCCTAAGCTGAGCTATGATATGTCGGAAATGAGGATTTTGAGATAGTAGGAGTCAGGATTTTTGTGAAATTTTTAGTGGAAAAATTTT